GGCAGATTGAGGTGGGCCTGGTTAACCGCCTTCCCGTACTCGTGCTTCTCGGCAGGAACGTCCCTGGGTTCGCACGCCTCCTCGTCACCGCCACCAGTTGTCCCGCCAGCCGCGTCACCACATCACAGGAGAAGGTTCCCCGCAACCAGACCACGTTAACGACGACGGATAGCGGGAGAGATGGTGAGTCCAACCCCCCCTCTGCTAACGTTTTTTATGATGTCTTCCAGCAGGTGACACGAGGGGGGTCCTTCAGCCGCCTTCAACATGAAGATCAAAGGCTGAAACACTGCTAGGGACAAGTACGAGTGGCTGAAGGACAGGATCTTCAACCAAGACCCCATCCTCTCCCGCACTTCATCATTAAGGAGGGTCTACTCTACTGTCTTGCCGAGCGGAGGGGAGAGGTGAAGGAACTCCTCGTCGTGCCCCGGTCGCTGCGAATACCCTGCAACGGATTCGGGACCGCTTCCATTGGCCGGGGATAGACGGCGAGGTCAGAGCATTCTTTCGCGCCTGCCCAACGTGCCAGAAGACGTCACTGCGCACACCTCCTCCCAGCCCGCTCATTCCACTCCCAATCATCGACGTGCCCTTCGAGCGCATCGGGATGGACTTAGTGGGGCCATTGCCGAAGTCTGCCCAAGGCCACGAGCACATACTCATCATCGTGGACTACGCCACCCGGTATCCAGAAGCCGTGCCCCTGCGAAAAGCCACCGCCAAAAATATCGCCCACGAGCTGTTCCTGTTGTTTAGCCGGGTGGGCATTCCGACCCAGATCCTGACTGACCAGGGGACACCCTTCATGCCCCGGCTTATGGCCGACCTCTGCCGGCTGCTTAAGGTAAAACAGCTCCGGACCTCGGTATATCACCCCCAGACTGACGGCCTCGTCGAGCGCTTCAATCAAACTCTGAAGGCGATTTTGAGAAAGGTGGCAGCCGACGACAAACGGGACTGGGACCAAATGTTACCCTACGTACTCTTCGGGATCCGGGAAGTCCCGCAGGCTTCCACTGGTTTCACGCCCTTCGAGCTCCTGTTCGGCCGTCAGCCCAGGGGGTTGCTGGATGTCGCCCGTGATGCCTGGGAACAGCAGCCGGTAGCGCTCCGCGATCGAACATGTGGCACAGATGCGTGACAAGATCGAGCGGGTCATGCCATTAGTCCGGGAACATATGGCCCAGGCGCAGCAGGCTCAACAGCGCCACTTCAACTGGGCAGCCCAGCCCCGGGAGTTCCAGCCCGGGGATCGAGTGATGGTCTTGGTCCCCACCTCCGCCTGCAAATTCCTCGCAAAGTGGCAGGGACCGTACCCCATTGTCGCCAGAGTCGGAGATGTAAACTATCGGGTGAGACAGCCCGGAAGAAGACAGCCAGAGCAGATATACCATATCAACTTGTTGAAAAAGTGGGTGGGGACCCGTGAACAGCTCGCCGCGCTCACCTCCTACTCGGCGGTGGTGGTAGACACCAGTGAAGACCTCTCGGCTGCCCAGAAGAAGGAGCTGCAACACCTGGTCAGTCAGTTCGGGGATGTGTTTTCCCATCTGCCCAGGCAGACCAACGTCGTGGAACATCGCATCCAAACTGCACCAGGAGTTATCATCCGGCAACGGCCCTACCGAGTACCGGAAGCCCGTCGGCAGGCGATAGAGGAGGAGGTCCAACACATGCTCAAGCTGGGGGTAATTGAACCGTCCCGGAGCCCGTGGTCCAGCCCCATCGTGATGGTCCCAAAACCTGACGGCACCCTCCGATTCTGTAATGACTTTCGCCGCCTCAACGAGGTGTCGGAATTCGACGGGTACCCCATGCCCCGAGTGGAGGAGCTCCTCGACCGGCTGGGACGAGCCCACTTAATTTCTACGCTGGACCTATCTGCGGAGGGTGCTCACGGAGCTCCGCAACGCCGGCCTCACCGCCAACCCCCACAAGTGTCATCTCGCCCAATCCGAAGCGCAGTACCTGGGGTTCCGTGTGGGACGTGGAGTGATCCGTCCCCAGGATAAAAAGGTCGAGGCCATCCAGAACGCGCCTCGACCCACCACCAAGACCTTTTTGGGGTTGGCGGGGTATTATCGCTGTTTTATCCCCAGATTCTCCTCCTTAGCTGCCCCCCTGACAGACCTGACAAGGAAGGGGCAGCCGGACCGCATTCAGTGGACTCCGGAATTGGAGGGGACGTTTCAGAGGATCAAGGAGGCACTGACCACAGAGCCGATCCTGCGAGCGCCGGACTTCAGCTGCCCCTTTCTGCTACAAACTGACGCTTCGGACACAGGGTTGGGAGCCATCCTGTCGCAAGTACAGGAAGGTGAGGAACACCCCGTGCTCTTCATCAGCAGGAAGTTGTGCCCAGCCAAGACCCGCTACACCGCCGTGGAGAAGGAAGCCCTGGCCATCAAGTGGGCAGTCCTGGAGCTGAAGTACTACCTCCTGGGCCGGCGGTTCACCCTTCTCACTGATCACGCGCCCCTGCAGTGGATGTCAAGAGCCAAGGAGACCAACGCTCAGGTGACCCGCTGGTTCCTAGCGCTCCAGGACTTCCACTTTGAAGTCCGCCACCGAGCCGGGGTGGCCAACGCCAACGGACTGTCTCGGATCTGAGCTGGATTTGCAGATCTGTCGGGGGTCACTCCCCACCCACCCCTAATTCCCCGTCAAGTTTATCACATGTTTTCCAGGAGATGCCAGGAACAACGCTTGGGGGGGGGGGGGTGTGACGGAGATCTATCCCATTCATCGCTGCCCTGGCATAAACGACGAACACCTGCAGCATCTCAATCAGCCGCAACTCTCCGCAGCTGCGGCTCATTAAAGAGGAGCATAAAAGGGAGTGAGAGGCACAAGCCAAGAGAGCTTGATCTCCGACCTGCAAGAAGGCTAACGTCTTTCTCTCTCTCTCCTTCCCTCCAGACAGCGACTAAAAGCCCGGGTAACTACACCCAGCCGTCCTCCCAGGATCACAGGAAGCCTGACACCCGAACGCGAAGTAGAAGGTGACTGAGAGGACTTTGAAGAGACCCTGACGCCCGGAGCAGACAACACGCCTAATTTGTTTTCTTATTGGGAAATAAATCCACCCTCCGGGGATTTTTTTTAGCATTATAGTTTTGTCTTATTTGTAGTGTGATTCATGTCTGTGTATATAATGCTAGTAGATGTGGGAATTACGGTCTTTCGCCTTTTTACTATGCTTCTTTTGGGTTATCAGATGTGCAGCATTCCACGTATCTTCAATGTCGCCCAGTGTCTGTGGCCGAGGAGGAGAAGCACGAGCAGGACTCTGCTCTGGATGATGTGGAAGTGCTGCACCTTCCTTCTCTTCTTCCCGTCGATGCGGAGTCTGATACACCTGGTACTGACGCCGCTATATTCAATTATATTTCAACACGGCAAGAAGGCTGTGATTTGCTCGTGTCATTGCTATTGCTATTCTCTAAGTTAGTTTCTATTTCTAACGTTAATTTTATGCTTAAATCACAAGTGACACGTGGTGAGTGTAAGCATCAACACAGAGTGTAATTTTTATTATTGATTATTTGGATTAAAGCTCAATAGCTCCCATAAAAATCGCTCTTTTACCACCAAATTCAGGTCACACACAACTGTTCTCTTGTTTAACTCACAAACAACCCTCATTTTGTCAAAATTGAGCTAAAACTAAAGCTAAAACAAACAAAAGCTAAAACTAAGCTAATCAGCATATTATGTCCGGTTTTTAGCCCATACTTAAGTTTATGGTCACCTAAATGGGTGAATGAGCTGGACCAAGTAAATCTTTAAGTCTTACATGAAAATCATTAAGTCCAAATAGCGTCCCACAATGACTGATGAACATTTGTAAATGTGCTTGAGGCTGGCTGTCAGTAGCTACTGTCCGGACTATGCATCCCTGGCTGATTCAAATCAGTGCAAGTCATCAAATTAAACTCAGATTATTACAAAAAATGAAAAATAGTTACTTATTATGTGTGTATAATTCTCAATAAAGTTGAAAATAATTGTTTGTTTGATGTTTTACTTTTTTGTAGTGGGTAGATCACTTTGACTTGGTCATTTTAAAAGTAGCTCGCAAGCTGAAAAATTGTGAGCACCCCTGATTTAGAGGCTACCACTCAAATGACAATTTATTTAAGAGACTGCCCATTACTGTAGCTAGACTTTTTATTATCATCATGCATGTTTAGAACAGGAAAATGTTTACAAAATTATCCCAGTGCGAACATAACAACAAGTAATATCATCCAACAACAAAATACCCCCCCACCATCCTCTCTCTCTCTCTCTCTCTCTCTCTCTCTCTATCATGCCCACATGTAAATACCACAGACAAACATTACAGTGGTACCCCAAGATACGAAACTAATCCGTTCCAGGATGACCTCCGTATATTGAACAATTCGTATCTCGAAGCAAGTTTTACATGTAAAACGACTAATCCTTGCAAAAGGAAAACCAGAGAAAAATCGAGTAACGTTTCTTCAATCCTTAAATCTACACATTGTTAATGTAATAAATGATAATAAAACAGAATAAAACACAGGAAAAATACGTAATATGTACACAAATGTGAAACCTTACATTGAGTGAGGAGGAGGTGGAACGGATGGCAGAAAACATGGCACATATAACACATCTGGCTTACACTGCCTTACACTGCCACAAATACGTTCATAACAGTGAAGGGATTGTTTTATGCTCCACACATGATGAAGAGAGAACACAGGCAGAACTCTATTCAGTGCGCTAGCAACCAAAACAATGGTTAAGAAGAAAGAAAAAGTCTCCTACAAAATGGTCACAAACACATGCAGGGTCAAGTACCATAAAAATGACACATGAACACATTACTAACACTCTGTTGTTAGGATTATAGTCCAAAAGGAGTGAGAATATCCGGTTGATATCCTATTGGTGTACACATTTTTCCACCCTTGTTGCATCTGTAGTTTTGTTTCCAGATGGAACACCAAATGAAACCCCCCACCCATGACTGGTTGATTTAGGGGTATGATTCTCACTTTGGGCGCGAGAGGTCCCGTGTTCAAATCACGGTCGAGCTCAGCAATAATTATGGTTCAACACGTAAATTTTCTCCCATGTTGCAGCTGTAGTTATGTTTTCAGATGGCACACCAAATAAAACCCACCCTCTATGGCTCGTTGGTCTAGGGGTATGATTCTTGCTTTGGGTGTGAGAGGTCCTGGGTTCAAATCCCGGACGAGCCCAGCGTTTAACACTTAAATTTTCCACCCTTGTTGCATTTGTAGTTTTGTTTTGAGATGGAACACCAAACAAAGCCCACCCTCCATGGCCCATTGGTCTAGGAGTATGATTCTTGTTTGTGATAGGTCTACACTTACATTTTCTCCCATGTTGCATCTGTAGTTTTGTTTCCATCTGTGGTCTGTTTCTTGAGCCTGATGTTAAAAAATGATGATCGATATGCATCGTCTTCAGTCTGTGCTGTTTTGCTATGTTTGCTGAAAATGCTATTTTTCTTAATTCACTTGGACAGTTTGATCCTTCATTAATGGAATTATGTGGGTTTTCATAAGCTGACAAAAATCAAAAGGACCTCTGAATAAATGTAACTACTCCTTGATCTTAAATAACTCATTACATTACATTCGATTGCATTGTTTTACATTTATAAGTTACATCTGGCCCTTTGAGGACAGCCATTATGCTAATGTGGCCCTCTGTGAAAATGAGTTTGACAGCCCTGGTTTAGAAGATATTTGACATCGAAAGTTGTCAAAAAGTGGGTGTGGCTGAATGATTTTATGTTAATTATGTTTATGTTAATTTTATGATAAATGATTTGCTTTCTTAATGCTCGTATGACTTTCCAGTGTCAACCAATTACAGAAGCTCTTTCACAATAGGATCAATAGGAGTGTCTTGAGTGTTGTTTGCCTACAAGTTTTCTTTCAGGTTTTTGCGAATTTTTGAATTACAGGATTTTTGCTCACATGATTTTTAACCATTTTTTATAGCAAAACATCTACTTTTTTGTCATTTTTTATATCTCATTTTTTCGCTTGAATTTCTTTACGACAGTTTGAAAAAAGAAAATGGAACGATACAAAGTAAAGTTATGTGAAAATTGGAAGTTAATGTGCTTAATGGGGATAGTCGCTATAATTGTAGTAGGAGGAGCCACAATTTTTGAGAAACGTCAAATCAAAAGAAACCCCAGAAAAAATTTTACTCTGGTGAGATCCAAAAGGGATGTGGGACAATTAGGGACTAAAGGAGTATGAGGGGAGAGCATTAAATTATGTTAAGGGCTTTACTACGTCATTTACGTTTGATTTGTGTGAAGTAATCATTTGTGGGGGGTCGAATACATCATGGAGGGGTTATGACGCCTATATATGTGAAATGCCACATTGCCCAACCCTGAGAGGATAGTGCAAAGACTGGGGTGAGGTTACGGTTTGAAGGATGGGTTCGTTGATCTGTACACAACACGCTTATGACTATACACGGATCCGAACAAGAACCTTCTCACTCCAACGAGATTACAGTCTTACTCCAATAACGATCACTCTGTCTATGAGTTTGAAAAAAATAAAAAATGAAAAGCCAGAAGAATCAGAAACTTCAGTTTTTTTCGCCAATAAAAGACCACACCAAATAAGTTGCAGGAAATAAGGTAGTCTTTGAAGTAGATTATACAAAATGAACACCTGAAGATATTATGGAAAAAGCCACTCAAATTTATGGTTAGAATGGATGGCTACCACAGCCAGAGAAATGCAAATGGAAAATTGTGTAGCTTGCGCTAAAGCTAGACCAACTCTGAGAATTGAACCAGCTCCTCTAATTAAAGCTGACAAAACTGGCTACAACTGTATGATGGCGATTACCTGGAAAGCAAGACCAACAGGGTGTGATACTCTAGCAGAAATTTTCCCAGAAATTTTAACTATCAAACTAAGACAGTACCATTTTCAGCAGAATCAGGAAATTTTACATGCTTTAATTTGAGTGCTGACAACCCAAGAGTTAGAGTGGGACATATTAATTCTTCATGGTGTAATGAGGTGGTGCAGAATACTGAAGACATTATACGGCCATGGTGGCTGTACTATTACTGTGGGGACAGAAGATTATTTGTGAGAATAAAAGGAGAACTCACCATGGGAACATGTGTAATGGTTAGACTAGCAGCACCACTAGCATTTATTGACATAAGGTAAGAGGACCGAAAGAGTAGATCAAAAAGAGCAGCTGGAGCTTTTGACTTAACTACTAATTCTATAGATGCAAAAGGAATCCCTGAAGAGTACCTGATGAATATCTGCTACTCACAGAAAAAGGAGGAGTATGTGCAGTGATCAAAGGTTATTGTTGTATGTTCATTCCCAATAACACTGCCCCAGATGGATCTGTAACACGAGCATTAGAGGGACTAAAAGTCCTGTCCAAAACAATGGCAGAACAATTTGGTATCAACAACCCCTTAAATGACTGGCTGACAAACACATTTGGCAAATATAAAGTGATGATTACCTCAATTCTAATTTCCATTGCTACCTTTATAGCTATAATAGTGACCTGTGGATGTTGTTGTATCCCATGCATAAAATCATTGTGTAACAGGGTGATTGTGACTGCAATAGAGAAAAAAGATGATAAACCGCCCCCTTACAGAATGCCCTTGCTGTTGGCTAAAGAAGTAGAGGAGGAGAAGTGTGAGGTGTGAACGCCATCCAAATTCATCTTACTTTAATTCTAGAACTATCTCTCTAACTATGAGTGAGAGTACGAACAAATGCATTTTAGATTCATCAATATCATATACATAATTTCATTCACAGCAATTATCCAAATTTCTGATAGATTTAATGGTTTCATAATTATAAGACTCAAATTTAGCTCAATTAAAACAATTGAGGAAAAACTTGGATTTATTGATTGATAAGAAAATGAATACAAGGGCGTAAATACCTCAATTTAGGATTTGTGTTTGTTTGTCTGTGTGAAAGAAATGCACTGTGGCTAAACCTTAATCATTAACTGGAAAGAGATAGTGATTTTGTTGGAAAGATGTGATTCGAATGAAAGTAAAATAGAACGTTTGAATGTGTTACATTAATTAGTTCTTTTCTTCTGTATGAATGGGCATGGATGATTAATGAATGTTTGGGAAATTTATTTTACTCATGTTTGTTGTTTGCTGGCTCTTCCAGAACAAGCACCTCTAAAGGTACGTTCACATCGAACGCGGTTCGCGTGGTAAGCGATTAAGCGGTTGCCGCGATAGGCGCGTATTGAGCCGCATGAATGGGTGATACGCGTGTTGTGAGCCACGCGCAGGAGGCGGACCGGCCGTAGACGGGTGAACCGCGCGCGTATCGCTCGAGTTCAGAAAATTTAACTTCGGTGGATTTTCCGCGCCGCGCTGACCAATCAGGAGCTTGCTGTAGCTGTGACGTGCAGCTCGGAGACCGTCTGGAATTAAAACAGTGATGGACTGTCATTAAAATTTTACGTGAACTGCCAGAGCTCTCTGATCATCTTCATGATATTAAAGTTATAAATAATAGTTTATTATAAATAATAATTTAAAAGAATAAATTTTATTTATTAATAAATTTATTTAATAATAAAAGAATATATAAAAGCACCTTGCTGGAGGTGCTTTTATATATTCTTTTATTATTAAATAAATTTATTAATAAATAAAATTTATTCTTTTAAATTATTATTTATAATAAACTATTATTTATAACTTTAATATCATGAAGATATTTTCTTTTTTATTAACCTATTAACCTCTTTTCTTTTTTATTAAAGACTCTAATTTGAACTTGTATCTGGGTCCGCCTGTGCTTCCCCTATTGCACCTAACTAAATCGTCTGACCACGATGGACCCAGCAAGAGAGAGTCTTCTCCAGAACGCGTTGGAGAGACAAGGGACACTCCTGGGCCGACATGAAGAAGAGCTGACCGTTTCGAGGCGTACTATGGAGAGCCTCATTGCCCAGGTAGCGGATCTCTCAGCGCAACTGTCGCTACTCCAGCGTGGCGATTCCATTCCCCAGAGTCACGCGGAGCCTCGCATTAACAACCCTCCGTGTTACAGTAGAGAGCCGGCTCAGTGCCGAGGATTTTTGGCGCAATGCCAGGTAGTTTTTTCTTTGCAACCCCTGACTTACGCTGATGAGAGTTCCAGGGTAGCTTTTGTTCTGTCCCTGCTCAATGGCAAGGCCAGGGCTTGGGCTACAGCATTGTGGGAAGCTGAAGCGCCATGCTGTAAGACTTTTCTTGCCTTCCGCGCCGAGATGCTCAAGGTGCTTGACCGATCCCTGCACGGTCATGAGGCGTCCAGAGCCTTGGTGTCACTCTGCCAGGGATCCAGCTCTGTTGTAGATTTCGCTGTGGAATTCCGCACTCTTGCCGCGTCGTCTGGCTGGAACGAGGAGGCCCTCTGCGCGCGCTTTTTGGAGGGACTTCGGCGCGAGATCAAGGAGGACCTGTACACCCAGGATCTTCCTCACTCCTTTGACGAGTTGGTGGAGTTGGCGCTGCGCTTGGAGAAGCGCCGCGCTCTTCGAGTCCGTACTTCTACACCGGAGTCTCCAGGCCAACGGTCGACTTCAAGGGGCCACAATCCGCCGTCTGTGGGTCCTTCCTCTGCGCAGGAGCCGATGCAGCTGGGTGGAATCAGGCTGTCCCAGGAGGAGAGACAGAGGCGCTTTCATCTGTGCCTCTACTGCGGTGGTTCCGGTCACTTTGCTGAGAGTTGTCCAGTAAAATCCAACGCTTGCCAGTAATCCGGGGTTGGCTGGCAAGCGATTCCTCACTCTCCGCATCCCCGCCTACTTCCTGCTCCTCTCTTCAGGTGACTCTTCGCTTCGAAGGCCGTGTGCTCTCCTACGCAGCCCTGCTGGACACCGGCGCTGAGGGGAACTTCGTGGACAGTGAATTTGCCAGGGCCAACGGGATTCCTCTTTTGGAGTCATCTGAGCTCCGCACTGTTTATGCCCTTGATGGGAAGGTTCTGTCTCGCAGCCACCTAGCTACTAGTTTGGTGAGTCTCACGGTCTCC